CCCTGGCCAGAATGCCGCCCCTCACTGGCAGCTCCAGCTGCAAGCGCGTATATGGGTCCCGGCTCCAGCATGAACCTGTGGCAGGGCGTGAGTGCCATCCCTGATGCAAAGACTTCCTCCTGCTGCTTCAGCCACAGAGGCCAGGCTCTGTTCTAAAGGCTTACTGGTGAGACAAGGGTCTCCTCCAACTATGTCCTAGATCAGGGAGTGGTACCCTAAGACACGTCAGAGCAGACCAGCAGATCAAAGCTCAGCATCATGGCAGCTCCTCTCCAGAGAAGACTGATAAGCTACAGACTCACTAAAGCCAGGATTCAGCCCCCAGGGGAGGAAGAGGCACCCAGCAGCACAGCCCTGTGGTGTGGCAAACTCCAGGAGTGCGGTGTGTGAATCTGGACCCCTTCTCCAAGCCTCCCTGCCACCCCCCACCCCCCCAACCAGCACCTTCTCCCAAACCCAAGGCTGGGTGTTCCAGGGAGGTGGCAGGGAGGAGGCAGGGCTGGGGTCAGCTGAAGGTCAGCTCCTAGCAGTCAGCAGTCAAGAGGGTAAGTGGCACCCTCCCTAAGGCATAAGCCACGAGAACAGGATTTCTCCCAGCGAAGACCCTGACCCTCCTAGATCCCAAACGCCACCTGACCCAGCTCCTTGGACTCGGAGGGAGGCCTGTAGCTGACGACTTTGCCGCTTGTCTCACGTGCCTCGTGCCGCTTTCCAAACTCCCATCCATCCTTCCAAAACAAATGAATGCGTGATTAGAGGGTGCGACTGTTCATTGGGGTGGAATCCCAGTCGGTCTGGGCCCCAGGAAAATAACTTTTTTTACAAAAAAAACCTCTTTCCCTGGCTCTCCGCCTCTGCCTCTGCCTCTGATCTTTCTACCCAACTTCATAACCCAGGTCTGGGTTACCGTCCTGGGACTAAGCACGCTGGGAAGTCTAGGGGCTGCTCCACGCCCGGGACCCTCCCACTCTGGGAAGGGATTCTGGGACAAGAGGAGACTCTGCCAGGGGCCCGAGTGTGCTGAGCCCAAGCGAGGATCCCCGGCGACCCCGTCTCCACTCGGCACAGGCTGTGTCCTAGGCGCACAGGAGTAGGACCTCGGAACGCCCGGAGACCCAGGCTCTCATCTGCTAGGGGCTGTTTCTCCCAGCGCCATCGGGGTGCCCTCGAGGGCGGCCTAACCACACAGAGGGGGTCGCACGGGACTGACGAGCTGGGAACGCAGGTCCCGGGAGGCCGGGGCTCAGCGAGCGCAGCTGCCAAAGACGGCTGCCCGGGTCAGCAAAACTTTGTTTCTCAGTGCGCAGGCGCGGGGCAGGGTTGGGGGGCAGGGGAGGGAGGGGTGGAATCCCGAGGCCGGGAGGAGGGAGAAAGGAGGAGGGAGGGTGGTGGATTAAAATAAGTAGGCGGCTCGGTGCTAAGGGATGAGTGAGTCTGAGCTCGGTCTCTCCCCAGCACGTTCTCAGCCTTTGC